AAAATCCCCAAAAAATCCAAAAATCCGTTAATTTTTGGTTAATTTTTGTCTTTTTTGGTTATTTTCCGTTAATTAACGGAAAATTAACGGAAATTACCCTCTGTCCGCTATTAACGGATCCGGGTGGCCACCTCTACAGCGAGCTTAGCCATGGGCAGTGGGATTGTCCTCACCCGCGGAACGCCGCGCTGCTTGGCGTGGTTTTCGGTGTGTTCGCGGGCGATGCGCCTGCCGAGGCGCCCGATGGGGCCGCGGGGCCCCCTCCGCCATATGGCCGGCGGGCTTTGCGGGGCGCTCGTCTGTTCGGATGCGTAGTGTAGGCCCAGGCCTGCAGATTGGTCGGGCGCGGGGTGGCCGTACGCGCAGTGGGTGCGTGCGGCGCCTTGCGGCCTGCGGGTGCAGCCGCTAGGAGGCGAGAATAGGCACGAATGGAATTACAGGCTGTCGTGCGGGGTCGGTCACATGACCCCCACATGCAGCAGTACACAATCGACAGAACAGCGTATCGAATGTACTATATCGATAGTATCTCATCCCCGGGTACAGTAGGGGCCCAACCGTAAGTATTGGAACTTCTATAAGCCATAACTCCACTACCGCTAACCTGTTTGGTATGATTCAAAGACTTATGGAAAGCTAATAGCCTCCTCTATCCCATCTAGTAATATCTTGTGTCCATTATCACTTCCCAGTGTATAACTTGAGTAAACCGGTTACCCCCTAGTAGATTACACCAGAGAGAGAGAGAGAGAGAGAGAGAGAGAGAGGAGAGAGGAGAGAGAGAAGGTTTTGTGAAACAAGAGATGTTTTTAGGAGGGACGCTCTATGGATATGAGTTTGAGGCAAGAGGTTGTCTCCGCACCTGTCTCCAACTTGATGATGTTGTTGGGATGGATTATGGACTTCAGGTTTCATTCTAGGAGTCTTGTGCATCGGGCTCGGGGCGGGCACCTTCAATAATCAACAGATAGAGTTGCACATTTACCAGAATCGAGGCCCTTCGCCATTGTCAGTCAGTAGAGGTGGGAGCGCTGCGGGGTTCTTGTGCCAGTCAATCAATCAATCAATCAATCCTTTAATCCTTACATAATTCCATGTGAGACCTGTGCCTTTTTGTGACAAGTACGTGCCAACACCTCGTGGCCCTTGTGTACCGCCAGCTTCCCAACCAGGTTTTCTGCAATGATGACGTGGTGATAAGCACGACTTTACTTGTGCCTCCCCTCCCGTTGCGCACCGAGCTCCCAGAGCCTGGGTTTTCACCACCAAAGAAGAGACACAGGAGCGCCTCGAGGGCGCCCCTGCGTTTAAGGGTAAGTGCTGTTTGACCAAGATGGGAGGAGGAGGAGTGACCCACGAGGGCCCGAATTCGTGCTTCGTGGGTCTCTTGGAGTGTGAGTGCCGTTATGGCCGCCCCATTGCTCCGACAATGATTGTCAACCTCTGCTACCCGATATCCGGGTGCGAAAAGTGCCCTTAGAGGCAGATTTCTGTCACACTCTCACCCTGCAGAGCTGTGTGGACTGCCGGCATGTTTCGAAGCAGCTGAAGGGACCCGCGGTCACCGGCTTGGGGATGGGCCCCTACGGCCCTGCGCGTTCAGCCCGCTGATCCTTTGGCGCTGCTTGTTTGCCGTACCCTACGCGCCGCTGCCAGTTCTTGTTGTTCTCTTGTCAGTCATGTTTTGGCTCACTTTTTTGGATTGAGCGACCTGCTGTCCTGTTCTGCCGCAGGCGCGCATCGGCTGCTCGGCGTCGGAACCCCTGCGGGCCTCGCCTTTCATTCGAACAGAGCGCATCTTCTGCGTTGCCACTCTGAACATCTGGTGTTGAAGACGCCTGTTTTGACAACGCAGCGATGGAGAACCACGCTGTGCACCTCAGGCACGCAGTGTCACAGGAGCAGCTTAAGGGCGAGGTGCGGTTACACTTGGGCCAGCATGGGAGCGTCCATGTGGGAAGGGGGGGTCTGACAAGGAATTTCTGTGATGAAGGACGTGTAGCAGAGGCAATATGGTCAACGCTGCTAAATTTGGGGCCAACGATTGTGTTGCTCACAGCCAGGGGGGGCACCATTGTTTCGATTAGCCTCCCACTAATCCAGTTTCCAGGGCATCGACGCAGAAGCTGACGCCCCACAGCAAGTGGATCCTCATCCTACTTGGCGACTGGGGTTGCAGCAAAGGTGTGAATTCGGCTGGGTTGCTGGCAGCACTCAAGTTTTCGGCCTTGGCCATATCAGGAGCCACTAGCCATGAGGCGAGCTGGAGCGCCTGTTTGTTGGGGAAGCGTTTGCCTTGTGATACCAGGAATGTGCACGTAGGACATTGTTTTTGTCCATGAGGACCTTCAGGACTTGAGCCCCAATCCACCGGCGATGTGCAAATGGGCCCTTTACTGCGTCTGCGATGGGCATGGTGGCAGATCTGCTGCAAAATTTATGGAGGATAACCTTGCCAAGGAGATGGCTAAGCGGCTACCAGATCAGTGCCCTCCACCTCTTTTCACTGAGGGTAGGTGGCAGAGTGGCATTCTGGCTCTCTTGTGAGGTGTGCGCACTGATCAATTGATTAATGCACAGTATCATCAACCATGCAGATTCTATTGGTACAGGCCAGAGACCACAGTGTGGAAATTCCAGTGACTCGATGGCATGGATACTTGCAATGCAAGGACTGCAGTCCGTGTTGTCAGCATTTGCGCACGTGACAAAGACAGCTGGTGCTGTCTTGCCGAACTTTACCAACATTGTTGCATTTGAAAAATGAGGGTGCGGACTATTGCCCCAGAATGGAAAGGTACAGGTGCCTCCTGCATGATGTTGCCTTGCGGATGGTCTCACCTAACATAATGTCATCACATGTTCTTTGGAATTTAGACATGAGACACGACTGTGTATGTTTCCTTTGCTGTCTTTTGGCACCTTTGTCCGAGTAAGGAATCATTTCCTCTGCATGCCAGTAGTGAGGAGCTTGCTATGTGCACTTTCTATGTTTCTGGATGCTCATTGTACCAGGACATGCCACACTCATGACTTCCTTGGGTTGATGCAGGGATGCCAACATATACCGATGTACCCTGACAAAACAGCTTCCCCCACAGGAGACAGTTCGATAAGGATGGGTTACCCTCACTTTGAGGCGCAGGGTTGTACATTAGCTTGTTCATCACAAAGAAGTGGTGTAATTATTGTGGATGAGGATTTGCTACAATCAGGAGCAAAAGTCATGGGACAAACAATACGATAAGACTAGCAACACTGGTGTGGAATTAATGCCCAACAAGGGCAGTGTTTTGTCCATGTGACAAATTTAATCAAAGGATGAGGAGCAAAAGTCACACAATGGAGTTCCCCCTCCTGCTGGGAAACTTCATGGATAGGGCATCGATATATTGCCTGTCAGCCATACAAGTGCAACAGCTGGGTGACACACAGGACAAAGAGCCCAGAGCGTGTAAGCAGCATATGTGCGTGATATATGTAGCATGTATGTATGTGGAATGAACAACAAATACATACCTGGGTACTTCAGTGGCAAGAACAGCAAACAGTCAATGAAAATTTTGTTTCTTCTAAATTGTTTGCAATTGTTGATGCTTTTCAGGCTGGCAGGCTTGGGGCAGCAAGGTGAGGGAAGCAGTTGTGGACACTTTCCTGCAACTGGATAAAGAATTTGAGGCACAGGGTTCGGCGCAGCAAGGGTCCTCAACTGCTGCCAGGCTCCAGCTGCTGAAACAGAAGTCAACCAAGTCAGGTGAGCTGCTGCCATAGCTCCAAGATGAGAGAGGCCGCTTGCTGCTGTGCTGCTTGTTAGTTATGTACTCAGTGTGAAAGATGTCTACTGTGTACAAGAGGCACACCAGTAACACCAAAACTTGATGGCAGGCATCACCATGTGCAACTTTGGGGCTGTTAGTGACATGGCTGTTAGTGTCCTGGCCTAGCCTGCATACCAATGCTGGCCGTGGGCATGGGATGGAAACCTGTGTTGATAACACAGACTATATGGGATAGTCCCTCCAATTGGTGTGCTGTGAATTGTGGCACTGACAATGACAGCTGTGATTCGTATTGTGGCACTGTAGTATTTTGTTTGTCTCTTTGTATACCAAGGACTCAGCTATCCCTAGAAGAAATCTCCTCTAAAAGATGTTGCCTCAGTCACCAGGTGTTGTGCTTTGTTCAGCGACTCGTCTTGCAAATGTTGTGATTTTGCTCCAGGTTGCACAGCGAGTGTTGCACTTGTGTGTGGGCATCTCCTGACCGTTGCAAACATTGGCGATTCCGAAGCATTCTTGGACACCGGTCGAAAGTATATTGTGGAGATGACAAAGTCCCACAAGATTGACATCAACATTGGGGAGCAAGAGCGGCTGAGGGCTGCAGGGAGGCAGGTTACTCAGCTTGGCGTGGACTTGTTTCGCCCTGCTGAAGAAGGAGAGAAGGGTGTGGGGCCCCTGAGGGTCTGGCCATCTGGTCTTGCTGTTAGTCGTTCGGTGGGCGACTTCGACTGCGGAAGCGAAGTGACTGCTGCACCACACGTTCGTCAGGTATAGCTATGTTGCTGCCCATGATTTGTATGTTTGGATGCATTTGAGACTTGCTGCTTTGCTGAAGAGCTCGATGGCAGGAGAGTCAACTGCCTGGTCACCAGCTCTCAACTATCTGGTCACCAGCTCTCAACTGTCTGGTCATCAGCTGGAAGCCACTCCAGTCCATCGAGATGACAGCAGCAAATGAAACCAGTGATTGGCGCATGGATATAAGTTCTGTGTTTTAGTGGTTGATCAATTCTGGACAGTTTGTGCACACACAATCCAGTACAGTTGCCTCTTTCTGATCCATCCTTTCCCAATTCTTGGATGTTCACCATCTACAGTGTTGTCGTTGTGAAATGGGTATCCTTGACTACATTCCCAATTAGGCTCCATGTAGACTGCTGCTGGAGGCTGCCAAAGGAAGGCTGGTCGTATGACAGTCAAGCACAATCAAGTTCAATTGGACAAGGTGTTCTTGTGAACAGGCTCTGGCGTTCCAATTCACTTCGATGTGGCAACTCCCGGGTCGCTTTGAGGGACAAACTTGAAGAGAGATGAATTGTCTACAATTACCGTTTTCAATGGGTTTCTGAGTGCAAACCCAGCATTGGTGTGTTTGTTGCATGAACAGTTCCTGAAAGCTCCGCCCTCAGCATGTGCCAGTTAATGTGGATAATCACAGATAGGCAAACAATGTGTCCTTCAATCATTCTGCATGGTGGCATAACAGGACCCGAATAGATGTTTGGACAAGGACTGATTCGCACTGTATATTGCCGCTCAGGTGGAAATACCTTTGGCAGGTGCAAGGCTCATATTGGCTTCGGATGGTGTTTGGGATCACATAACAGGCAAGCAGGCATGCAAGACAGCAAGGAAGTCTCGCATCCATGAGGTTCCTGAGGTCCTTATTCGCCTAGTCGAGACGAAATCCAATCATGGTGGCCTCACAGACGACACATCTGTGCTTGTGGTGGACATGCTTCCCAACAGTCGAGTTGACTTCAAAGATGTCACGAAGAAGCTGCGTAGCCCACTTCATGCCTTCAAGCGCTTTGTCCAACTAAAGGAGGCAGTGAGACCAGAGCTGTTGGCAGACTATGATGGAGTGGAGAAAAAGGAACAGGTGGAAGCCGCCAAGGTGGCATATGGCAAAGCCACCACATTCGACCTTGATGCAAGGCAACGATCCATTAGTGAGGAAGAGGATGACAGCCAAGATCTCTTTGTCTTGGGGTCCAACCATAAGCCCGATACGCCCCCTGGCCTGACGCCAGGCTCCAATGTCAGCAAGATAATACTCAACCCTGATGCATTGGCACAGTCAAAGTCCTTGTAGCTGCTGCTTTGCATGACTTGCTGTGACTGTTCTGTGGGTATTAAATTAGAAATGTTGGCCAGATAGCATGGTGCAGGTCACGATTGTAGTGGAGTGCAGTGGAGCAGAGTGGCAGTTGTACAGTTAGCACAGGAATAACCAGCCTGGTCATTCTTTGGGGAGTCCATGCTTTTCAAGCTTCGGCTTGGGGTCAATGTCTTCCCATCACTGGCTGTCAGGTTGCTTTGTTAGGATTGGTAGGTGCAGAGGGGTACTGAGGTCTTGAATAGGGATGGAAACAGGCAGACTTACTGCTTACTAAATTTTGGCGTCTTGCAAACTACAAGAGCATGTGGTATGGGCCGTCCATTAGCTAGTATGTTTGCTGTTGATTGGAGTTCTGCGCTTTGGCAAATTTATTGCATGGATGATACAAGGCCGAACACGCACGCGTGCTGTGCACGCGGTGCCTTCTGATTAACACGGCGTACTTGGCGGTAAGGCGCTTATATATTGTGTGCCGGTGCCAAATCAAAATTGCTCGTGAAGCCTTGTTCCCGCCCTTGTAACTCCGCGCTCTGAGTGAAGCACAGTCAGCTCGATGTCACTTCCTCCCCGCGCGCTCACCGGATGTACAGTAGGCCAGTGTGTGGAGGAGCCAGGCAACGTGCCCCAAGGCAACATGCGGGGTGGGCAAGCACCCATGCACTCGGGGCTACGCACAGCACAGACGGGTGGTGAGGGCGGCCTCCGAGCGGTGTAGGCGTTGCGCCTCTTGGGCGCCCACTCGTGGTGCTCACATCTACCTAAAAATTGGCAGCGGGCGCCAACGGGAGTGATCGTCCACGAGGCCACACTCCTGGCGCACATGGGCCTTGCGAGTAGCGTGACTAGGAGCCCGCGGGGCACAAGAGGTGGCCTTGGATTAGCACTTCGCGGGTGCCCAATCACACCGCCTGCAGGGGCCCTAGGGGGGCCTCGTATGCCTCCTGCCAGTGGTGCGAGCGGCGACGTGCGAGCCACGAGAGGCGCGCCCATATTGGCGCCTTGATGCCGGCCATTCCCACTGCCCACGGAGGCATGGAATGGTTTCTGCATATGACGCGAATGGGCGCCCACGAGGGCCAGACAAGCTGCCGGATTGGCGCCTCACGGGCGCCCATTCACGCCACCCATGGTCACTTGGAATGGGGTGCGCTAATGGCGGGAGTGGGCGCCTGTGAGGCGCCAGATGCGGTGCACGATTGGAGCATAGCCGGTACCCAATCGTGCCACCAGCCTTGCGTTGAAATAGGGCTGGCAGTGGCGCAGTTGGGCGCCTGGAAGGGTTACTGTTTTTCTTTGCGACAGTGGATTATTCTTTTCTGCGACAATGCCAAACTACTCTTTTTTGCGACAGTGGCAATAATTGATGCGCGAGATGTTGGCATCAGATTTGCGACACCACCCCTGCGCCATCCACCGGCCCTCCTCTCACAACGGCGCTGAAGGCGCGTCTGTTTGGAGAAAGGACTAAAAGGCAAAACGGGAACGTTTGGGGACGCCCAGGGTCCCCACCTTGCAGAAGGGGGCTGCCGCTACCACTCGGCGATCACTTTGGCGTTGAGATTCAGCCGAATCGGCTGAGGTTGCAGCCCCCCGTTTCCTCCCCAGATCTGTTTTTGCCATGCTAGCCCCCTGAAATGCGGCCACTTGGCCGCGCGGGGAGACGGCGCCGCGAACTGGGACCGGGGAGTGTTGCTCGTGACGCTGGACGGGGAGGCCAAGGCGCTGGTTGCCAGCGCCAGGCCGTCCAAGCATCGACCATCAAGGCGCCCACGCCCAGCACCATTGACTGGTCAAACGACCAGGTTTCGCTACCGGGTGGGGGCACGCCCTGTGAGCCACGACCTGTGGCTGGTTGCCACTAGAGCCATTTCAGCGATTGGCACAACCCTAGTGCTCATTTAGCGCCACCCGGCCCTGTGTTACGCGCACCGGCCTGATGTGGGGGACGCCCTACTAATGGCCCTTGGTGTGGGGGACGCCCTGCCCAAGATAACTATCCTCAACCCATGGTAACCATTCTAGGTATTAGGATACGGGAGTAGGAGGGGTGGTCCCGCCTAGGTCCCCGTTAGGACCTAGGTGCCCGGCGAGGCGGGTCCGCGGCTCAAAGAGGGCAGGAACCCCACATCCACATGCTTTACGTATCATTGGTTTCGGAGCCACCTAGGGGTGGCTGCCACGCTTTCGTCTGGGCGGGCGAGCGAGCCAAGAACACCGGGCCCCTTCCCCGGCCTCCTCCATGGAGGCTGAGGAGACGGATCCAGAAGCCCGGAAGGGCACGCCCGAATCTTCGGGCGAGGAAGATACACCCCAGAAGGGGACGCCGACCAGTTCGGTCGGTGAGGACGTTTGTGACGTGGCTACTTGGGGTTAGGCTAAAATTGATATTTCTGAAGCGGCGGTTGGTCAAAAAAGTGCAAATACAAAGATGGTACACTTAGTACCAGTCCAGCAGACCATCACTGCTGCTGAGACAGCTCGAGTCTACTGGGAGCAGATTGGACGACTTCACGGGATCCCCAGATCGATCGTCAGTGACCGAGATCCACGATTTGTGTCGAAGTTCTGGCAAGAATTCTGGAAGATTTTGGGTAGCAAGCTAAGGATGTCCAGCGCTCACCACCCCCAAACAGATGGTCAGACAGAGGCAGCTAACAGGGTGGTAGAGCAAGTCCTCAGGTGTACGATTCATGGCAGTCAGGAAGTCACTCATTGGGAGAAATACTTGCCCATGGTGGAGTTCGTGATCAACAGCAGCGCATCGCCATCCACGGGGTACACGCCTTTCTTTCTGAACTACGGCTTTGAGCTAGTGACCCCGTTGGACTTGATCAAGGACATGGACCAGACCAACATTGAGGGTGTCAACGTCTTTGTCAACCGAATGAAGAAGACATTCAGAATGGCGATGCAATCAGTTCATCAGGCTCAGCAGAGGCAGAAGCGTCAGGCCGATCAGCGGCGCAGAGAACAGAGGTTTCACAGTGGGGAACAGGTGCTACTCAGTACAGAGCATCTACAGTTGAAAAATGCACCTGTACGCAAACTGAAGCGATGGTTCGTAGGACCATTTGCTGTGGTCCGTCAGGTGGGATCAGTGGCCTACGAATTGAAGCTACCAGAAGGGTGGAGGATACATAATATCTTTCACACCAGTTTGCTTCGACCATTCAGATCGTCCCGATGGTCCACCCCACAGGAGTCAGATGACGCCGAGATCGAGCCAGAGGCTGATGAACCGTATGAAGTTGAGAAGCTGCTGCGATGGAGATGGGCAGGACCCAGTGGCAGGAGGCATAAGGAGTTTTTAGTATTATGGATAGGGTGGAGTATTGATGATGCCTCCTGGATACCTGCTGGAAATTTCACCTATGCACGTGAACTTCAGAAAATGATCAAGAGGGATAAGCCCGAGGAAGACACTAGTATGGGATAGTGTGCTTTCGGGGGCGAAAGCTACCCCAAGGGGGGAGTATTGTGACGTGGCTGCTTGGGGTTAGGCTAAAATTGATATTTCTGAAGCGGCGGTTGGTCAAAAAAGTGCAAATACGGCAAAATCAGCTTATTCAGGAGCTCCTGATGCCAATAGCGACTTGAAACGTCCAATTCCGTGTAGAAACGGCGAAGTTATGGCCAGTTGAAGTTGCAATACTTTAGCATGGGATTCGGACCGGTAGATGGAAGCATCGGGGATTATGTGGAGCTGATTTAGGTGAATGGTGGACGGTGACAATGTGCCTGGACGCGCACTTGTTTTGTCTTGTCATGATGTGACCGCGATGGACCCGCGATCGGGCATCGCGCATGCGATATGTGCGCGCGCATGCAGTGAATCGTTGTAACACTTTTGGCCCACTCTCTGGCCTCCCGCGAGCCAGCGAACCACCGCCTCGCTGCGCCGCCACCTCTCGCCGACAGCAGGCCCCGGGGATCGATCCCCGTCGAGCATTGGGCCCACCGTGCGACCACAGGAGCGACTGCCCCGGATACGCCCACCGTCCAAGGTGGAGAGGGCCGGCTGACCTCCAACAGCCGAGCTGCACGGCAGGGCGACCCCAACGCCTCCGGAAACCAGCGGCTGCCGACGGGGCCGCAACAACGTTACAGCCCGGAATGGGCAGGAACAAAAAGAAGTCCGGAAGGACGTTGCCGGCCCATCGTTAGGTTGAGCTGAGCCGGAAGGTAGCGACCAGCCGATGGCCGAGGCGGAGGAAGCTCCAGGAGAGGAAGCCCCAGAAGAAGAGGCGCCAGAGCCGGGCACGGTAGAGGTGGCCACTCAAAGATGCCATCCGGTCCGTTAAGTCCGGTTTGTTAATTTTTATCAGCTGTCCGTTAAATTCCGTTAAAGAAAAAGGGAGAAAATTTCAGAAAAAACAAAAAAAATCTAAAAGAAATCAAAAAAAACCCAAAAAATCATAACAACTGCGGCTAGTTGAAAATCTAGTATGCATAGGTTGAAATAAAATACAAACATACTCTCTAATAGCGAATTCCATAAACTATAAGTATGAATAAAACCCAAAAATCCCCAAAAAATCCAAAAATCCGTTAATTTTTAGTTAATTTTTGTCTTTTTTCGTTATTTTCCATTAATTAACGGAAAATTAACGGAAATTACCCTCTGTCCGCTATTAACGGATCCGGGTGGCCACCTCTAGGGCACGGTGGCGGCCTTACTGAAGGCGCCTGGCATCATGGAGCTCTTGGAGCAAATGGCGGCTGCTGCAGCCAAGCAGGCGAGAGAGAAGCGGGATGAAGAGACCGCCGAGACGATCGCCTCCTTGGAAATTGTAGCAGCGGCGGCTTAAAAAGAAGCCCGAAGGAACGAGGTGGCGATGAGGAAGGCGAAAAAACAGAGCCGCCAAGCCGAAGAGGCCAAGACCTCTGCTGAACAACATGTGGCCCAGTTGAGCGATCGCCTACTGAAGCAGCAGCTGCGGGTGCACGAGGCAGAAGAGAAGGTCGCTCAACAA